CTGCTCTGCATGTATTACCACTCTATTGCTCTTTCTCTAGAGGGGAGGAGGGCATCCTGGGTCCCTTACAGCCAGGTCTCTATTCTTCATTTTCTAAACAACCCGCTAAAGATACAAAGCACATTCCTAGCTCAAAGCTGTACAAAAAGGGGTCTCAGGGCCACAGTTTGCTTTCAATTCACAACTGTGGTCTTTTTTTATTATTTTTTTTATTTTTAAAGATTTTTATTTATTTATTTGAGAGAGAGGCACAAGCAGGGGGAACAGCAGAGGGAGACAGAAGCAGGCTCCCCACTAAGCAGGGAGCCTGACGCGGGGCTCATCCCAGGACCCTGGGATCATGACCTGAGCTGACGGCAGCCACTTAACCGACTGAGCCACCCAGGCACCCCCACAACTGTGGTCTTATCTCTTTAATTAAGAAGCCAGGTCTCTAAGGACAGGGACCAGGCCATGGCGCTCAAGGGCCTCCCTGCTGACCCCCGGTTATTTTAGATCATCTGTCATCTCTTGTCAGGATTAACAGACAAGCCTCCTATTCGGACAGATGAGAATCTCAGGAGTCTGGTCTTTGCCCTGTCAGAACCAGAAGGCTCATCTAAGGTAAGTTCCACCCTCTGTCTTTAGTTTCCTAATCTCTAAAAGAGAGGTTGGGAGAGATTGGTATTACACTGCTTTCTCTTTTCCTTTCTTTTTTAAGATTTTATTTATTTGAGAGAGAGAGTGCACACACAAGCAGGGGGGAGGGACAGAGGGAAAGGGAGAAGCAGACTCCCTGCTGAGCAGGGAGCCTGACACGGGGCTCAATCCCAGGACCCCGGGATCATGACCTGAGCTGAAGGCAGACGCTTAACCAACTTAGTCACCCAGGCTCCCCTAAGCAGTGTTTTCGAAAGAAATCAAAAGACAACAACGGTAGGAAAACAAGAGCAAGAACTATGTGTAACAACAGTCTTCTAAAACAACTTAAACAAGGTCTTGGTGGCCAAGTCCAGGGGACTATCCTAAGAGATGAGAACAGGAAAAAAAAATTCAGTGTACTTGAAATCCACTATATTCTTTAGATAAAGGTTCTCCGAGATCTTGACCAGATAAAGCAATTATGTCAAAGATAAACTCACTTGGAAAATTATGAATAATCTATCACACCATTTTTATTAGAAATTATTCATCAAAAATAAAAAAGAAATGTATAAAACATTCTCTAGAAAGACTGGTGTTGCGGTAACTATTAGCGTCAATAGTAACATTTAACCCGAGAAAGTACTTTTTATAATGCATTTGTGCCCGATGGCCGTGGTAGCTGCTATTAATTATGAAGGGATTTTATCTTCATTCTAGCAGGCCCCATAGGTCTCCATTTTTTAATAGTTATTTATTAAAAGTAATTCCAATTTTTCTTAAAAACAGACAGCAATCTAGTATGCATTAACTGACCAGAGCAGCGGTTTCCAAAGTGTGTTCCATGTGACTACATTTCCATGAAGGAAAGGGCCCCAGTGAATATCAGCACATGAAAACCTCTAGGAGGGTCCAGAGTAAAGGGGCCTGTTGCACTCTGTTTAACCCAGTTTTCCAAATGACCCTAGAATCTCTTTTTTTTTCCCCTCAAGGAAAGCGTATGAACGTCTTACTTCATTAGTGCCCCATGGAACACTGCCATGGAAGTCACTCAGGAAAATGCCACTTCCGGGGTCTAAAACCCTCTGACTGCACCCCCCACCCACTTTCCTTTCTCACGGGAAACAGATGGAATCAGCAGATACTACTGCATGTTGGCAACGTACACAGGGATCTGTGTGCCCAGATCCTTCCCAGTAGACGGGTCCATATCTGCCACAAGGGGAGCGGAGAGTCCCTGTTAAAAGTCCCCTATGTTCAGAAATCAGTATGGGGTGTTACAGCCAGATACCCCCCTCACCCAAAGTAAACTCTCCCCATAAGCAATTTCTTCAGAGCAAATCAAAACCACTTGAATGCCTTCAGATAGTGCTAAACCCAAAATAACTATAAATTCTGAAATTACTTCGAGCCTCTGGTATACGTACTTTCCTTCTTCATGTGAACCACCTCAAGAAATCCCCTAAGAGCCCCAGCAAACTAATACACTGCCCTGCTTTGATTTTCTGCATACACCTGACACCACTAACTGACAAGCAGATTATTACAAGGTTAGAGGGGAAGAAAGAAAATGGAATCTCGGGAGCGCCTGCTTGCAAAGCATCAAGCAGAGGGTCAGGTCCATGGTCATGTAAGGGACTAGCACTGGCATTATCAGGAAAGTGGTTATCTCGATATTCACCGGAGGAGAACACACAGCCCGAGTTCCAAGGACTGTGCCTCCTGAGTTATAAATCAAATCAACAAGTCTTTGCTGGGCACCTACAGGACTGGGCTGGATATGTTAAGGGCTGCATTCGTCACACTGTCTTTTCCTCACATTTCATTAAACATATCTTTTCAGAATTCAGAGAGAGAAAGAAAGAGAGGGAAAAAAAAAGAAATCCCCTAAGAGATTCCATTTTCTCAGTAAGTAAAGTTACAAAGGAATGCAAAATGGGCTCATTTTTGCAAGCAAAATGAAATGCTTTTATGTTTTATTCATGCAAAGTGAAAACCCCTTTCCTTTGCAGCATTACAAATTGAATTTGCTCTTGTAAATTGCTGTTAAAAAAAAAAAAGAATCAAAGCAAAAGAAAGTTAAAAAAAAAAAAAAAGCAGGAATACAAACGCCCCTTCTTCTAGGGAAGGGAAAACTCAGGGGACCAATGGGGAGAAACAGAACCTTTCACTGGCAAATGTACTTTTTAAAATTTATTGCTTCCAAAAGCAATCCAACTCTAGGACCCCCCAAACCAATGCAGGAACTTGAGGTCCTGACAGCCATTGTGGAACCCTGAGGGAATTTCTAAATTATACTTACCTGTTAACACTGAGTAAGAGTAAGAAGTGGTTTGAAAAACATGGTTAACCCAGCCCACATTTCAAAAACATAAGCAAGGTAATGTAACCGAATTTACATTGCTGTCACTGGGGGGCAGCGGTGGGGGGCTCTTCTTGCCTTGTAGGATAACTGAACTCATGAGGAACAGCCCCTCATCCCCTGTATCAAATGATCAACTGTCTCCGAAACCTCCCTGAGGTCTGACCCCTCCCATATTCACCCTGTCTTTGAAAGAAAGCCATGTAATTAGCTGTAGCTGCTCATGTATGTTCCCTCCACGAATCAAGAGCTAACATTCATTAGGCATTCGCCACGTCTCCATCACTGTACCAGTTACGATACACACACAAAAGCGCATATATACACATGCCTTGTGGTCCCCCTTATGAGCCCCATTTCACAGATGAGAGAAACTGAGGCTCAGAGCTTGGATAATTTTGTCAGCTGGAGTTTGAATCCTTTGCTCTCTGAACTTGTGGCATTTGGCCTCACTTTAAAAAACTGGGTAGCATGAAAATGTCACCAGTGAAATCTGCTCACAGCCTAACCTTAAGAAAACACAACCCCATCTAGTTGTACATGTACATAATGATCCTCACCGTGGCTCCTGCCTTAAAAACAACCCTGGGGGCCACGGACCAGGGAAAGACTGAGCATCTTACATCCTTTCGTTAAGACTAAACATTTCTAATGATGAGCAAACATCATCATGAGGTATTTTCCTTGTAAAATTCATCAATTCATGTCAACTCATCAACTGCAGCGCTACAGTTTTGCCAAGCAAGTGAATGACAGGTGTGTACGCATAAATTACCCACTCATCCCGCCCCCCCGCCACCGCCCACCCCCCGTGCACCTGGCCCAACTGCCACCGCGTTCATCACTCTGTGACAGAAGCTCAAAGACACAACTGTGCTCCCAGGAAGGTTCATCCAATCAGAGGTCAGAAGACACTTCAGCTTTCTCTTTTGCAGACCGTTTCTTATGCCTGGTTATAGCAAAAATGCTTGTTCTGAGACTGAGAAGTGCGTAACCATTTTTTCTTTCTGGTTTGGGACTTGGAACTGCATCAGAAGACTACCGAACCCACAGATGCCCAGCCCTGGTAGCCAAAGGCTGGGTGGGATAAGCCAAGGCAGAGCCCCCAAGAGAGGATCTCATGACCCAATAAACCAGAATGCCCAGGAATGGAACCACAAGCCCAGCAGGGTCAGCTTTCTCTCGTCTGGGATTTTTACCTCCTTTTGTCCATTTTCAACAAAGCAATAACTAATTATCCTATACCTGATCCCTAAATGCTAGGAGATCCTTGGGTACTTTGGGAGTTGCCAAAGACGGGCTATAATTTAAGAGCTAAATGCATTCAACGTAGCCCAATTACTTAACAATGGTATCCAAGGATGATGTCTGCAATAGCCGTCACTTCATTATTTAGAATATATATGTATTTGAACTTCCTTATTTCCAGTCATCCTGGAGAACAGATAATTCAGCACACGTCTAAGAAGCACTTGCTGTAAATAACAAATTTTCAGTAGAATTTCAGAGAAACACACCGAACGGAAGGAATCTTGACGTGACTGGGCATTTCAAATGGTAACGAAGTTTGGCTCACCCCAAACCCCAGAAGTTCCTGCTCACCGTGTTTAATGATCTAAAGCTTGTGGCGCAACCTCTCCCTTCAAGCAAGCCCTCTAGGAAGGAAGCACCACTAGGAGGGCTTCTGAAATGGCCAAGATGAGCCCAGACTGCAGAGAAGAGGCAAAAAGAAGGGCAGGGGTCCAGAGAGCCTGGGTGAGTTGGCAACTGAGATGAGCAGCATGAGCAGGGGGAGAAATACGCAGAACTCGAAGACAGGATCCAGAGCTGACAACAGGTCTGAGGTTCAGAAACCCTGAAGGGAGGGTTTAGGAGGCAAGGAGAGAGATGTGCTTTCCTTTGTTACATTTCTAAGGACAGTCTATCGTCCCCTTTGATGTTCAGTGATGGGCAACAACAGCGAGACGACGCTTCAATGCTGAGGTGACAGGTGACGGCAGCACCCCCGGGTACTCACCGGCCATTGTCGCGGCCCACGCCCCACACTCGGATGCTGGCGATGGGCTGAGAGTGGAGCACAGTGCGGTCCATGGGGTCCACCAGGCTGAGCGTGTCGTTCTCCAGGATCAGGTACATGTCTTTCCCCTGGGAGTCAACGAGAAAACAGGCTCTCTTCCTCAGGAATCTATGCTTGGTGACACAATTATCTAGGGACATCATTGCAATGGTCAAAGGAAGCCACCCTTTGAGTCTGTAATTTGTTTTCCTAAGAGGGCAACATCCTCTCCTGAGTAAAATATGCATAAATCTTTCGTATGCCTCATACTTACCTAGTTCCTCTCTCCCTCTCCACGCCCTCTGAAATGTGTCCCCAGCCTGCCTTCTGGTCGGCTCTTGTTTTTAATTATTTACAATTCTGAATCTTGGCTCTGAGAAAAAAGGCTAATGGGTGGTTCCCTGGAGAATCTGGTCTTTCACTAACGCCAAGCCTGTCATTCTCATCACCTGTGTCTCCGTCCCTTCCTCTCTGGCCAGACCCTACCAGGCCTGCCCTTGACGGCCTTCCCCCAACCACGACCATTCCATCCCTTCTTGGCGTTGACAGCACTTCACATCTAGGTGATTTGGCTGACCAATCGCAGGTGCACTTGTGACTCGCTTGGTAGTACGACAGCTAACGTTTCTAGAACTTGATCACATCTCAGATGTTATGCCTCGGGCTTGGGGCACACTGTTCGCAATCCTTCCAACTTGCCCTGAGAGACTGGTGTGTTATTATCTCCAATTAACAGGTAGGGAAACTGAGGCTTCAAGGTTAGGCAACTTGCTCCAGAAGCTGGGAGGCCTTGAGCGACAAGGGCTCTACCGTAATACCGATGCAGGGGGAGACCGAGGCTTCTCATCGCTTGCATTGCTCCTGTCTCCTCACATGGGCGGCTCTTTGGGGGCAAGAACGTTAGACTATTCAACTTTATTCTTGTTGGACTTCCTCGGGCATAATTTGAGAAATTATTAAACATCTGCTGTTCACTAAGGGACGCTGTCTCCTTTCTTCCAGCCTCAGGTGAGGCCAGCCGCTTGGCGGTCTTCAGGAGATGCAAGATCGCTGAGCCCCGGAGAGCTGGGAACGGGGGAGGGGGCAGGTCCCAGGTCCTGCTGGTGGCAAGCAGGTGATGCGCTTTGGGAGAACTGACGGCTGTTTGGGAGAACTGATAGATGTCTGGTGCCTCCTCCCCTCTCTCTGCCCTCCCCCAGGAATGAAGCATTGACCGCAGCCTAAGAGACCTTCCGCCAGGCCCGCTAGTGAGCGGCCCCCAGGACAACTCCCACCTGGTCACCACCACCCCATCTCCATGCAGCTGCTTCATGGCAAACACCCTGCAGACACTAACAGACTTTGAAAGCCTCTGTTCTCACGCTTTACGGGATGTCACCCACTGGGAGGCCTGGTCCCCCTCACTGAGCAGGGTGTTGTGTTTCCTTTGGGCTAACTCTGCTTAGAAACCCCCACCGGTCCTCCCAAAGGTCACAGAGACTGTCTTCATGGGTTAACTCGACTGACCCTCCCTGCATTGTTGGGCAGAACCAACGACGACGTCCAGCGGGCAGTCTAACATGAGAATGGCTGGGTGAGCGTGGCGTGTCCCTGAACGAAAATACGGCGTGGCTCCTGCAGACTCATTCAGCACATACACATCTTCCGAGGCTCATCCTATCGCTTTTCCCATCAACACACCGCAGCTCCTGGTTGACCACCGTAAAGTCTTGCCAATCGGTTTTTGTTACCAAAAGAGCGACGCTGACGCAGCTATCATCTACAGATGAGACACGCATCCGACGGTCATGGCTTTATTTTCAGTTAGCCACTCAACAGACATTTAAGGAGTTGTGCTGGATGTGGTGGGGCATGGCAAAAAGGCAGAGCTCCCCACCCTCAGTGTTGAGCTCTACTTTGTACACCATGAGCTAGAAGCACTCACTGCCTGAAGAATTTATTGTTCAGAAGAAGGAAGAATTGAGAAAAATAGGAGCGGCTTAGTGGGGCTAACTAGGTGGGAAGACACAGAGGATTTTCAGGCATGGCTGCCCCCTCGCCCTATATCCCCATACAAAGTTCTCGCTCCTGTAGGTATCCTGCCAATTGGAGATTCCTTTAGAATCTTACTAAGCTCTTCTAAGTACCTGGTGGCAAGTACTTGGTGGTATTCATCAGCCATTCACACATTAGTATGAATTACGCCAACCTTTCTTCTAAATCCTAGCTGAGATTTGTTCTTTTGGTGGGAGAGTATTTTGACTGAAGGAGAGAGAAGGCAGGTAGATAATCTGGTGGGAAAGACATGTCTGGGTATTTGGGTGGGAGGTGGGAAGTAATGCAGTGAAAGCATGGTAAAGGCAGATACCAAACAGACGTCCTTTTCTTAGACAGGAGAAAATTCTTCCTTCTTTCTCCCCATGCTTGAGATCTAAAAGTCTGGATGGTAATGCAGCTCAGCCCCATTCTAAGGTACATAGACTCTTCCATGGGAAGCCTTGGGAACCTCCCTCCCTCCCATTACGATAGTGCTGCTCGGGGCTTCAAAGAGCCCCATCCAAGAGCTGCCAATGCTCTGTATGAAGTGGGCAAGGTTCGAGAGCAGGGGGCTCACGTAGCACGCACTATTTCAAGACGCTTTCGATATACCTGTTCTATTGGTCTCAGAGCATGGCAGGCATGTAGCTTTTCTTGTTTGACATGATTTTTACACGAACTGGGTATTTTTACTTATTACTTTCCTTCCTGAAATGACGTCAACTAACATTTCAAAGCAGAATTATTTTGTTCAAAGGGAGAAAGAATATATAGTTATCAATTCTAAAAACTCAGGTATAATATTGATTTTCAGATTATAAATAAAGCAGAATGTGTTATAAAAGGATAATGCATCAACTTTTAGAATACAAGGGACATCAGCATTTTTGTGTGTATGTGTAAGGGTCACATTCCCCTTTGAGAACATACTTTCAGAGAACATCTCCTTTCCTCCTTATATAATGGTGTGTCCAGTTTTGCATGCAAGTTTAGGGGTTTCTGGACCCTAGCACCCATCCATACATCCCTGGGACTTGGGGATACCCGGTCAGACCCTGTCGTGTAGACATGGACAAATGTTCTCTCCCAGGGCCCAGTTCTCACCGGGATCTGGCAGAGTGAACAGATAAATCAAAGGGTACACCACGCCCACCCTACCTGTCTTTCTGGGGAAATGCACCCGATAAATTCCCTCAGTAGCACATCTCGCAGAGCTCTGGGGTGCGCAAAGCACAGCAGAGTGTGAGCGAGCCTGCCGTTAATTCTTTCCACGTGTTACTCACCTCTCCCCAGATGCCGACTGTGTCCCGGATGTCATTTTTGCAGTAAGAAAGCTGCCTGATACAGTTGTTGACTGCAACGCTACTTTTGCCAGGGGCGAGGTCCTCCTCTGCCATTTCCACCCATCCCAGAGAGCGCACAGCGAAACACTGCAAGACAAAGCACAGGGCATGAAGGCACGCACTGACCGAGGCCGAGCTCCACCGACTTACCAAGATCCCCTGCCGGGTATGCCTAATGCATCTGCAATCACTACATAATGGCCCGATCATCGAATCCAGCAAACGAATCCTCTATTGCTAGAAAATTAAATTGTGACTGCCTTTTGCTATTTTTTTTTAAGATTTTATTTATTCATTTGAGACACAGAGATACAGAGAGAGATAGAGCATGAGCAGGGGGGAGAGGCAGAGGGAGAGGGAGAAGCAGGCTCCCCACTGAGCCAGGAGCCCGATTTGGGCCTCGATCCCAGGATCCTGGGATCATGACCTGAGCAGAAGGCAGATGCTTAACGACTGAGCCACCCAGGCGCCCCCTGCCTTTTGCTCTTAAAAAAATGTAGTGATGGGGCGCCTGGGTGGCGCAGTTGGTTAAGCATGTGCCTTTGGCTTGGGTCCTGCGATTGAGCCCCACATCAGGCTCCCTGCTCAGCACAGAGCCTGCTTCTCCCTCTCCCTTGGCCACTCCCCCTGCTTGCGCTCTCTTTCTCTCTCTCTCTGTTAAATAAATAAATAACATCTTTAAAAAATGTAGTGATAAATACCTTCTTGCCTACTTTTCTGTATATGTGTGTGTGTGTTCAGATTTTTTTCTTGGAGTAGATTACTAGAAGTAGAATTACAGGGCTAATGAGTATGAGGATTTTTAAGCTCCTTTATCTATGATAAGGCAGGTTTTTTTTTTTTTAAATAGTAAGAAATGCAACACCCATGAGATCTGCTATGTGTTAAATACCCAGAAAAAGACAATGGGAGAGAGAAAGAATTAAATACATGTTTGGCACTTGTTTCTAATAATGATGAAGCAAAATGTATTCTCTCGTACCCAGAAATGAGGGAAGATGGGGAAAATGTGCTTTTGTGATACTAGGTCTCAGGTTCCATAGCATCTGTAATTAGCACCAAATCCTGAAAGCCTGCACAACGCACAAGCTTGCGAGACACCCTATTCTTTTATCCTTTCGAGATATTTTGATCTCACACTCCTTGCCTTCCTTTCTAAAGTTCAGTCATCTAATTGTTTCAAAATATAAAAAGTATCATATGCATGTTACAACAAGAAAAATCAAAGATGTATAAAAAAAGGGAAACTCATGGGACATGCGAGGGCTAATTCGGCCACAGATCTGCTTGCTGCCAATTGCCAGGGACGCCAGGTAGCCGGAATGGGGGTCCCTCCCAAGCTGCACAAGAGCTGAAGAAGCCGCCTACCTCCCCAGCAGGGGCAGGGCAGACAAGGGGCCACGTGTCTGCAGGGTCGGGGGAGCCGGCAGGCTGGCTCTCAGAGTTATCTTGTAAAGTTTCCAGAGTGAACTTCATAATCAGACTGATAGAGGAGGCAGCTGGCTAGACAGGAGCACTGAGCAGGGCTGGCCGGCTGTTGAAAAGGCAGAAATTGCCAACCATCTCCGGAACGCAAACAGTGGGGCAAAACCCCAGGAACATGCATCATTCTTTCCTATAACCACAGTCCTAGAGTACCCTCTGGCTTCATTATACCACATTTACATTGAGGTGTTGACCCCACCCCCTGCAGGGCATGGCTGCCCTGGCAGTTCCAACAAGGACCACATAGGGCCCAAACCTCCCCTTCCCCACCGGTGGGAGGAGTCCCTTAGGTGACGGGAGTCCCCCTCGGCCCGAGATGGCCCTCGCTCTGACCTCATAACTCATGCAAGTCTATAAACCAAGTAACCCTGACCCCCTATGAAGCAGCCACCTCTCGGCCCGCCTGCTAGCCCACCTACAGTGTCCTTTTGCTCTGAACACTGTTAAATGCTTGCTTGCGTGAGTTTGGCTCTGAATTCCTTCTTGGCCAAACTCAAGAACCAAGCAAGGGAACAGGACTCGCCGCTAACCAAAGGAGGAAATGCTACACACCGTCCCAAAGTGACCACATTCGGTTCAGTTCAACCTCCCCTGTCTCATGCCCATGCCCCTACCGGCTGCCTCCTGCCTGAGTTGCTAACCACACTTTCAAGGGGGGAAAAAACCCCACCAAAATACCAAAGACAATCTATTTAAGGAAACAGCACACAGATCCTCCTGTCCTAGAGGGGACGCAGGGAGGTATCTGCAAAACCACCCGGAACAGAACACCAGCCCTGCGTGACGGTGGATACGATGCCTTCTACAAAGACACCAAAAAGAGAAGGTCCTTGGGACAGCCGCCAAAGCTACTCAGCACTCCGTGTCCTGAGGGAAGTTCCTGGAAGACACCCTCACGTTTCATCTGTGCCTGTGCATCTGCTGCAGGGAAACCAGCCCAAGGGGAAGAGGAGGCCCACAGGTACCAGGGCCGGCTGGGGACCCGCTGAGGGCGGCCTTGGTCAGCAGCTGGCCTGCTTCAGGCTCGGGTAGAGCACCAGGGTGGTACGGTTCAGCTCCACGGACAGGGACGGGAGCCCCAAGTAGTCCCGGTTCAGTGTCAGTGAGAACGTGTCATGGGCAAAGTCCTTGGCCAGCAGCAGACGGCCACAGTGGACACCCAGGCTCCACACCTGGCCATCAAAGGTCACCACATACCTGGCCCCGGCCACCACAGCATGGTCTGGGAAGAAGAAAGCCCAGGGCAGGTAAGATGGCTCTGCCCGCTCTGCCCGCTGCCCTGGGGGCCCTGAGCGCAGGGGGTACTCCAGGGCATCCAGAGCCTTTCTGGCCTGTGACCCCTTGGGCAGCCTACATGGGGGGGTCTATCCCCAGCTCTTCTCCACCATCTCTAGCCAAGTCGACAATAAAAAGAAAGGACTGATACAGGATTCCTTTCATACGAAGTGTCCAGAGTAGGCAAATCCATGGAGCCAGGAGGTAGACAGGTGGGAGCCAAGGACAGAGGGTGACAGCTAAGGGACAGAGGACGCTTGTGAGGTCATGAAAATGCTCTACAACTGACGGCAGTGGGGGATGTGAACCTCTGAATATATTCAAAGCCGCTGAATTATATGCTTGAACTAAAAAAAAAAAAAAAAAAAGTCTGCAGCTCTGTCCCCTTCGCCTGAGACCAAGCTGTGCTTCTCCCGATGGATACGTCAGCTCCATGCACCACAGCCCTCCTTCCCCTGTTCACGACTTCCAGGGGCTCTGCCCTAAGTGTCCCTTTCTGCCTCCTGCAGGAAGCACCGTGTAGCTCACCAACCTCCCTGCTAGTCAGTAAAAGCACAGCGCCACAACCCACCCCAGCCTGCCATTCTGATCTTGTTACCGCCCACCTTCTAATGAAAAACTCGGCTTTCCCGCCTTCACCAAAAAAGTGTGTGGTTTGTCCACACACCACCAGGCAGTTCTCAGACTGGGGGTCCTACAGTTCAACTCAATTCTGACACTACCTGCTGACAGCATCAGATCCCACAGGTCAAGGGGCTGGTCCTACAAGACTGTACCCCGGCAACTCCCCCCTCCGACTTCAGATGCCAGTCACAAGCCCAGGTTATAGATTGGAGGTTCCAACAACTCGCTCCCCAGCTTTGATTAATTTGCTAGAGCAGCTCACAGAACTCAGAAACATTTTACTTACTAGCTTCCACACCTGCTCCGGGCAACCCTATTCTCCCCAATCTGCATATGTTCACCATCTTTTGGGGTTCGTATGCAGGCTTCATTACAAGGGCATGATTGATCAAACCACTGGTCATTGGTGATGGAACTCAATCTCCAGCCTTCTCGCCCCTCCCCAGGAGCCCAGGGGGTGGGGGGCTGAGGGGTGGGGCTGAAAGTTCAACTCTCTAAACACCTGGTGGGGTCCCCTGGTGAGCAGCCCCCAGCCTTAGGTGCTCTCCAAACATCACATTATTCACATAACAAAAGACCCTTACTCACTCTCAGCACTTAGGAAATTCCAAGGGTTTGGGGAGCTGTGAGCCAGGAACCAAAGACCAAACATATGAGAAATATATCTTAACAACTAAATACATATTTTTCTTATACATCACAGTATCACACTCCTCTAGTGCTCTCCTCCAGCGTCAAACTGGGAAACTCTCCCAGTTTGGAGAACAGGTTTATCATCCCAACCTACTTTCATAGCAGAAAAATAGCACAGCATAGTTGTATCATCTGACACAACAAACAAGACATTGTTCAAATGTCAAAGGTATTAATTCATTTACTCCTTATTTTAACCCTTTGATTATTAATAATCAAATTAATCAAATCTAATAATCAAATAGGATTATTATTTGATTATTAATAACCCTATTATTTTAAATAATTATTTGTGTGTACCCATTTTATAGGTGAGGAAAGAGAATGAAGCACAAGGCCAGTAAGTGGAGAACTCAGGGTTCTGGGCTCCCACTCTTTTTTTTTTGGTAGTTTTTAATTTTATTATGTTATACATCATTAGTTTTTGATGTAGTGATCCACGATCCATTGTTTTTGTATAACAGCCAGTGCTCCATGCAGTACGTGCCCTCCTTAATACCCATCACCAGGCTAACCAATCCCCCCTCCCCCCTCCTCTCTAAAACCCTGTTTGTTTCTCAGGTCCATAGTCTCTCATGGTTCATCTCTCCCTCCAATTCCCCCCGCCCATTTTTCCCTTCCTTCTCCTAATGTCCTCCATGTTATTCCTTATGTTCCACAAATAAGAAACCACATGATAATTGACTTTCTCTGCTTGACTTATTTCACTTAGCATAATCTCCTCCAGTCCCCTCCATGTTGATGTAAAAGTTGGGTATTCATCCTTTCTGATGGCTGAGTAATATTCCATTGTATATAGGGACCACATCTTCTTTATCCATTCATCTGTTGAAGGGCATCTTGGCTCTTTACACAGTTTGGCTATTGCGGACACTGCTGCTATGAACATTGGGGTGCACATGGCCCTTCTTTTCACTACATCTGTGTCTTTGGGGTAAATACCCAGTAGTGCAATTGCTGGGTCATAGGGTAGCTCTATTTTTAAATTTTTGAGGAACCTCCACACTGTT